ATATGTATTGTAACATAATTCCCGTCGATTATCGAGGAAATTACACTGATATTGTCTATAAAGTAGGACCACAAAATAGCTTTAATCCCAGTATGATATATATATACATTGTGAATATATATGCTTCAATTTGTAATTATAATCTAGCTTCAACAACATATCGTTCTACTTAAACCTATTGGAACGTATATATACATATATTACACGTAATAGTTCATGTGTATCTTATGTAGGATGTAGTGGATAAAGAGGGAAAGAGGCAACTTGTACAATACCAATTTGGACTGTGTGGCCTGTAAACTAGGATAAAAATCAGAAGTATGCATGATTACAAACAGATGATCTCCCGTCAGCGTCCAAAGATTGATTGATCAGCTTAGCTGTTGGGCAAGAAATCGAAGCAAAACCGACTCGTGTGGGCATGACAGGCCGATTGACTTGGGGAAACGTCTGCGACAAATCGCTAACATATCTTATTGAGAAACTAGGACAAAATACAATGACACATTTCTGTCCCTCGAGCTGTTTGTTCCTGATAAAACATTTCACAAGCAAACAAGTTGTCGTTACCATGAAATACCTGAATGAAATTATTTTGCAAATTCTAGACATAACAACAAAGATATATATATCACTAACCCAAATTTTAGCCATCTTAACTACTTTTTGTACCCATTCTGAATAGTGAGTGTTGAAAACTATTGAAATACTTTATACCAAATGATACTGTTTACATTGTGTTAATTCAGTGAATGAGAATTTTGAAGGTCACGCGAGACTACCTCGCTTGTAATGCGGAACATTAAAGTTCTTTAGTGTGCCTGCACCTACAAGTGAGACGATGAAGAAGTACTTGTTAAATACGCCGTATAACGCCCATCCAACATACCGTCAATATATAATCGTTATTTACCAACAGAAAGTCACTGTCATCGCAATGTAACCTACCAGGTCAGTTTTGTTTACCGTTTTATAGGCGAAGTTAAGCAGGTTAGGCGATCACACAAAAACGAGTTAAGGAATTTATTTAAGTTACGCTAATATCTGAATGGTACCAGAAACACAAAAATATTATCTACCTTTAACACATATACCTGTAGCTTCAGTAAATAACATTAGAATGTTTATACTGTTATATCAAAACGACCGCTCCGATGTTTTATTCTGTAACTAACGTGTCACTTTCGTGTGTAATTAACATACTATTTTTTGTGTATTTATCATATTTGACACTAAATAAATCGTATTGTAAATTAATTGTGTAAGTATAAATAATTCTACACCAATATTGTGTATATCCTTCCGAAACGATGCACTGACAAGCCGTAAACTGCATATTTTACATGAAAATCAAACTTAAAAGTTTATTCACCATAAAATCAGTAATTGTGAATACAAAATAATACATGGAACATATTGATTCTGTAAGATATGGCAGATTAAGTGATGGCAAAAATGTCATTGTAGCTGATATACTATAAAGTCACCAATTTCTATAAAACGCCCACGTTTAACTTTTTATACACAATTCTATTACAGAAGTAATACTACAAACACACTTTTTAAAACTTGCAATTGCACAAACAAGGGGACGTTGCGATGAAAGTTAGGTAAATGTCCTTGTAGCGGCTGAAGACGAATTACATCAGTAAGGTTAGTGATGACAATACTTATGGTATCATCAACAGCCCAAAGTTATCACAGATACATACATATTAGCGAGTCGGAGTCTGAACTCCATTCATGAATTAGCCGTGTCCCTGTAACTGTCACAGTTAATGTCCATATATCATAGTGAAACTATAATACATATATATGGACCGTGGGTTAGGAAATCGTAACAAGTCCCTGTGGTAACTGTAATATATTATAGATTGGGTGGTCGGGTGGTGCAGTGGTAACGCATCGCCGTTCACCTAGACGTCCGCGGTTCGATTCTCATATTGGACGTGAAAATGTATAGGATCAAGTTCGATTTCAATTTATTTTCAAATGCAGCATATCAAATAGGATTTACAAGATAAATGTATGTATGACATTCATAAGTACAAGATGACGGAGAAGACAGCGCATTTTTGACGCATGCTGATATATACGTACCAGGAGACACGGGTACAGCAACAGTAAAAAATGTAATTTCAAACATTTAGTAATGACATTCTTTTCGAAGAATCATGAATTACATATTTAGTCAAAATCTTCATATGTAGTTACTTGTAAATAATTCAGCTAACATGTATACAAAGGGGCGCCCGACCACGTGGGATTTTTCTGGGTACTCCGTTTTCCTCACACAATTAGACCTCTCGCACGCTTCCATCTGGGCCAACAAGAGTGAAAAATCTAAACAGATATGTCGATTTGCAATAGTTGTAAAATAAATAACGTTTAATTGTCTTATAGCTTTCATACGCTGTGACTTATAAAGCTGTATAATGCAGAATGGCTATTTTGATGTCATAGGACATGAGCTGTTGAAAGTCGGTCAGAATCAGCTAGTGACACAAGGACACGGAATGGACTAATCATGATTTTCTTGTAAATAAAAGGTCTTCAGTACTAGTTATGCAGGAGTGCCCATTTTATATTTTCTTTCAATAATTTTTATTCTAAAATACCTCTTAACCAAGAAATTTCGTTATTTTTTTCTCTTTCGAACTAACATCTTTATACATTCTTCTATTCATATACATAGATAAGAATTTCATTAGAATTGAATTCATCTATGTACTGTAACGACTAATTATTGTCGACATTAAGAATGTATTACTAACCTGTCAATCGATTAATTTGATCTCCGGAAGTTTACAAATACGCATTGCTATAACGCGACAGCACTAACAAAAGTGACCTTTACAAATTGTTACCAGACCACTGGCCAGTTGTGACCTCTGGCCAGTGGTCATTTATCTTTACTTGTGAAGTGTCTAGATATAGTGTAGAAATGTGTACACTCACAATAACCCTGACGAGAGAGCGCCAAGAAGCATCGAACTAAACAGAAGTTCTTCGTCACATGAATGACTATAGAAACAACTTATAGAGTTTTTTAAACATATTTTTTCTCTGTAATACTTAAAATTATTGACAATATATACACCAATTGACTTCACTTCGATAATACACGCAGTCACATTTTCGTATTAAAAACTTCTCATTTTCAACGTGATCGGGTTGTTTCAACGATAATTCTTGATGATTTTCATTCTCGCTTGCACTTACTAGTAAATGAATATACATCGCTAAATGATAAGATTCCTGGCTTCGGAATTTATATAGCAGCTTCTTCAGTAATCTATCTGAAGGGGAGGGGAATGTTTTTCTTTTTTTAATACAATGATAAATGCAAAAAGAACAGAATTAATATGTATGTACAATGTACTTCCGGAACGTGATTTCAAATATAGAGGGAACGTTGTAATTAGATCGACAACTAACCTGGTTGTAAAAAGATCAATTACGTGGTGTGATTTCCCTTAAGCAACTCTCTTGAAATCGTCATTGTTATCATCTCTCTACTACAATCGATTTCCTGTATCTAAGCAGACGACACATCGATATCATGACAACATCAGATATAGCCGTTAATTCAAATAAAATATACAGAAGGGAATATTAGCGAATAAATATGAAATATTATTTAAGCAAGTATGACATAGTGACCAAGGACGTAGTGCGAATTATATAATAACGTATCTAAAATGGCGGGAAAACGCTTATCTACGAGAATGACAAGTACAACACGTACTGAAAGATATTCATCCAGGTTTGTCATTGTGACATTAAAAGAAGATTTACACGAAGACCATGAAGACTACAAAGTGACTGACAGAAATCCATACCCTCCCTCCAAAAAATAAAAAATAGAAATGAAAAAATAATTATAAATAAATAGTCCTGTCTAATAAAAACATCGTTCGAACATGAAAAAAAAATGAAAAAATGTGCCGAAATTTCTTTACTACTGATAACAAGACTTACAATTACATACGAATTTAATTATCAGAAAATACGTAATTCATACTCATATACACTTGTGAATACGATTTTCAATTTTTTAATAAGTTATCAACCCCTACCCCTTTCACTGACGTCAAACACATATGTACATCAAACATATATACATCTTGTATAACATTCTCAAAACAGGATTTTGACCGAGGTCGTTCTTCATAATTATAAAATCCAACAAGAATTATTTTAAGATTGGCACTGAATATTGATATAGTTAATTTTAAAAACAGTATGCACAAAAAATTTCCAAAATAGTGTACGTTTGGTATTGAAATTCAATAATTTCACAATAAACGGAAGACATTCCAGAAGCCCTTTCCTGCACGTAAGCTATACCTTTGTCATTAAAGTATTTCGTGAATTGTTCCCAATAACTGAGATCACGTAATTTTATTCCTAACAATCATTGTATACCGGCTGCTTGAATTGCAGAGGCTTTGGTAATAAACACAAACTGATAATATTAACACGCCAAAACTTCTATTTTCGCGGTGTAGTGTCCCATGTTCTCTATATAGTCTCTCAGCTTCGATGTAAGTTTTTATTACTATTTTTAAAATCAACATGGTATATTCTCGCTTTTGCCATAAAAACTGCCTATCATAGTCACACGAACTTTTGCAAGTAAAATATCAAATATTAATGCCCTGTAACATGTGAAATATTTGAAATTACGACCACTCTTCCATCAAAAAAGAGCATCTTTGAGGTAAACCACGTGGGGTACACTGAAAAAAGACGTTGTAACAGCAGGTTCTAAATTAGTCAAGTATGTAAATTGTATGTAAAAAGTTAATATATTTATTGAACAACAATATCCACTAACTTATGTTGTCAAAAATGCGTTAATTAAATATCTGAAATTGAAAACTCGTTGTTATGTCTCTTATGAGCCTTTATGTGAGTACTACAAAATGGCTGCTCCCATTGACAAGTACTTGCTACGTTTACGATGTCAAATATTTTATAACAATAACGGAACATACCAATTTCCTTCCAGCTTCGTTGCTGTCTGCCATAGTTAGGGCCGCAGTTAATTTTCACATCACGTAATACTCCGATTTTTAAGTCTGGAGAAAGAAATATTTATTCCTCCAAGCGGTAACTTTTGTGTATGTGACGTCACAATATTGCCCCAAATAAAACAAAATATCACGTGACATATACTTTTGGTTGTTAAATCTTTCAGATTGTATATTAACGACCTCGTATTGTTAATAGTCTGGCTTAAACAACATGATTTATCTTTTTCAATTACACTTGAAGATGTATTTTCATTTACTAGTCAAGAAGAAAAATTATGGAAGTGAATGTAGAGTTTGAAGAAGTTTTATTCATATGTAGGTCAATTACTTTCGTTTCTAATTCACAATTCTATATTTGCAGTCAACCATGTAAACTAGAATTTCTTCGGCATTTTATGTAAGACTTTCTTCCCTGTGCAAAACAGTCTTCGGTACTTTTGTTTAACCATTTAACAGCGAGGGATAAATAGTGATATTTTCGCTCAGCATATACATTAGAACTAGCTTTCATCCATATTGATGTAGATTTTGTATAGGCGATACATACATATTTACATGCGGCGGAAGTCCTACTAGTTGTCAACTTCCGCTGTTTCCTGATCAGAGCCGATCAGGACACATGCACGGTAACGCTCCAACTGCAAACGGTGCTTATGACGACTGGATGCTACACGCGTACTACAGTAAACAGATGGAGGTTCAACACGCAAGACATGCAATATCATGGAGAAAACTTTTTCTTAGTCGTGCAAAGTTGAAAGCAACTGGCAACACGTCAGCATTACTATCGGGGTTTGCCATGGTAAATATTAATATTTCACGCGATGACCATCGTCATGTAGATTGTCATAGCACAGTTGTTGTTGATGTTTTTCCTTCCTTCTAACGGTAATATATGTTGTAACCGCCTCATCCCCTTCCAATTTTAATGTCTCTGCTTGGAGTCAAGATCTATAGAGCTACGGTAAAAGAAAATGCGATACAGTAGTGTCGGATTAAGTCTGGGAGGTATCCAAAGGTGTTGGGGGATAAGAAAAGCTTCTTTTCCCTATGCTGCGCTTAATTTCCAGTCTTTTAATAGAAAAATTGATGCGCTCACAAACTACTGCTAAAAAGATCTTCTCAATTATGCTGTCGACAAGTAAATGATTTCCCATCTGTGGAATATTATATACACCTTCTGTATTAGATAACTACAGTTTATCTATTAAAGACAGATACATTGCAGACACTGCACAAAATATTTGAAACAAAGATTAAAACCTAAAAGTATTGATATGTACATTTTATGAGCCTAATTTTAAATGTACAAGCTTTGTAAAGAGATTAATACAACATATCACAATGTACAGGTTTCATACTTAACTTCTTCTCATTGGAGCCATCTTAATTTTGGAAATATGTTACCTCCTGATACAGATCAAGTTTTAGGCTTAAAACTACCTACTACACTTATTAAAGTATTGTTGTTCCTGATTGTTTGTTAACACCAAAATATACGTTACTGTTTAAGGTTGCATTGGTGGAGATTGGGATAGAGCCGGACGTACCTAGTTGGTTGATGGTGGTATTCTGTATCAATACAACATTACTAGTATCTATACATCTACTGGCTGTCATGATAAGCACCTGTATTCTCCCCAACATAGAGGCTGTCAGCAATGTACACAATGTCAACTCGGTTCAGGAGTCCCCACATGAGCGCATGCAAGTATTCATCCAGATGTCGTGGACATTCTCAACAGGCTTTGGAATACTTTTGTTCCTGACAGAGTTAGTCCTCATTTGTTGGATAAAGTTTAATGTGAAGGCAGTAAACAACAACATAGGAGCTGCATGGGCTGCTACGGCAGTTGTCATTCCAGTAGGGATCTTATTTTTAGTATTTGCCTTTCATTTCTACAGGAGACTTATAGCTCACAAATTCCAACAAACCAATATGGGGTTACAGGATCTGGATAAAATGGTGTCAGAACTTGGCAACCAGGAGAATGATTTCAATGATATTGAAAATGTGTAAAAGTTCATGTATGTGAGATTCTTACTGAAGAAATTCAGTGTTTTTCTAAGTCAGAAATTTTGATGTTGATCATCAATATGTGTATATGTACATAATCAGAAATATATTTATATTATGTGAAAACCAATGAGAGCAAGTCACATTTGTAATTGATTAATGGACAGCATATGGAATCAAGGCAACACCAGAATCAGGATCACACCACTTTACATGCTAGCATACGAAGTCTACTTTTGGTCTACTTCTGCTTATGTTAATGTAGGTTCAATGTTATCAATGTTTTTTTATCAAAGTGTTGTACCTTTGTGTTCACCTGTTGGGAGCTGCTAGTTACTTGCCTACATTTTAAGTATTAGAAGAATTTAGTCAACTAATATGAAATCAATAAGTAACTTGAAAATATACACAAGCAACGATTGTTTATATCATGATGAAAATCTCTTGGAGTTTTTATATCAGTTATTTGTTAATAAGAGAAGGTAATGTGCAATTAATTAGCTCAAAGCTCATCGGTATAGATGAAGTTCATCTGTAAACAGAGAGAATAAAAGTAAATTGTGACATGTCAACAGAATCTCAATTCTAACTTATATTTAAAGAAAAAAAAAAGGCAAAACATGAACAAAAGAAAGATTTACATCAATCAACTATATGCAAAATAAATGTAAAAGAAAAAAATCATGTTTGTGAAAATGGCTGAGGTGGAAGCATGGTGCTATTTAGCATTAATAACTGATACAGTGAAAGGAATGGTTAGGTAATTAATGAAAGGAAAACTAAATCATCCATGACATGGCACTGTCATTTAAAATTAAACAACACACAAAAACCGAAATACTATGATATATCGATAAAGAGGATTTCCATTGAAATACTTGTGTGTACAGTATACACATAAGTGTTATATTTGTGGCTTTTTAATCATGATCAGTTGTATAACATTATATGAATGTTTCATATTTCTGTGATTAAGAAACTTCTTTGGTATAAAAAATATATTTTATGTATATATATATCTTGTACTGCAGCAGATAACCATTTCAGCTAGGTCTTCTGAATCCTTTAGTTGTCCATGTTTTATCATTGAGATGAATATAGAAAATAAATAAAGTGACCACTGGGTGACTGATTTTTACACTTAGAGTATGTTACTTCTCTCACTAGAATATAAATAAAGTGACCACTGGGTGACTGATTTTTACACTTAGAGTATGTTACTTCTCTCACTAGAATATAAATAAAGTGACCACTGGGTGACTGATTTTTACACTTAGAGTATGTTACTTCTCTCACTAGAATATAAATAAAGTGACCACTGGGTTACACTTAGAGTGTATGCTACTTCTCTCACTAGAATATAAATAAAGTGACCACTAGGTGGCTGATTTTACAGGTGTAGTATATATTACTTCTCAATTTTCACATTCAGGTCTACTGAGAAGCAGATCCTATTGGTCAGTTATTTCTTGTATTTGAACTCCTATACCCACTCTTCAGACTGAGAATATCACGGTTCAGAGAAACAACTTGATTTGTCCTAATAACATGCAAATTTTGATCTGTGTTCCAGCTACTTTATACTTTATAGCACCACAAGCAAGTCAATGTCCAGTGTATATAATGTATATAAGAAACTTAATGTATTTGATTATTGTTGTTCTTGTTTGTTTTCATTTGTTAACCATTGTCGCTCTCTGATTTATGAACTGTCTTTTATGAAGTTCATTGTTTTCAGGTTTTATTCAGATTCATAGATAAGCAACAGTTTGGGGGGCTCAAAGTAACTTTTTACAAAGGTGAATAATAGCTTAATTTACCAGTAATTTTTTTTAATGATCACTTGGTGCTGGAAATAATTTGTATTGAAGCAATGAATGTCAATATATATATGTATATATATACATGCAAAGCTTTAAATTTAAAAAAAGGGAGTTACTGTAATAAATATTTATCACTTTCTACAGGAATGTATACATGGAAGATGTTGGTAATATTATTGAATGTATGAATTGTTAAGGTTATATTTTTTCTGCTTTATAAATTCATAGTGCTACATTTGTACTTGTATATAAAAGTCACCATTTAAGTTGAGATATATAAGTGAATAAACGAGCAAGAGGGAGAGAGAGGAAATAAAATTCTCATTACTGTATTGAAGTTCTGTTCAGTTACTTATAAAGAAATAACAAATGAAAGCCCTGATTTATGCATACTTGTTACATAATAAAGTTTATCAAAATGGGATGGACTTCTTATTTGGCCTGTTTGAGAATGAACTTAAGGTCTATGATTTCAGTTATTCATATCATACATGACTGTGGATTCATAACATCAGAAAGGCTAACCAATTTCTGTTAATTTCAGTTTTCCCTTCATCCCATGATTTTACACATTGCATGTTCTCATGTATCACTTTGAACAAACAAAAAACTATCTATTAATTATATACGTGTAATTTTGTTGGCACTAAAAATATTAATTTCTTAGAAATATATATGATATAAATGTGTGGTTTTCAAGAACTGTTTTAGCCAGTACTTTTGATTTTATAAGTATATTAAAGTGTTATTTAAAAGATCCCCAGGGCTATTTAATATGTTTCTTCCAATGTACTATCTACAGTCAACATTGGACATCACCTTTTAAAATTCTGTGAAATATTGTTTACATTAGAAAGAAATTCAATACTTATGCTAAATATATATAAATATGAATATATATAAAGTCTGTTTTGTTTTTGATAATTTTTACCAATTATGCATCACCAGTGATGGGTGCAAGGGTGCAAGAATGTGATGCAATGACCTGTCATTAGCCGAGACCCATGTTCAAGTTATGTTTTCAAGATTCTACAGTTCTACATTAATATTGTTACATGGAATTGTTAATTTGTTGATACATTATAATTGGTGTTGATAGGTTGTAGTGTGCTTTAAAATGTTTAAAAAAATGTATACAGTATGTACAATTTTGAATTTTGTAAATAGAATGCTATATTGAAAGTTTCCATTAGTATTTGTTTCATCCACATTTTTAACATTCTTTACTGCTAATAATGTTAAATAAAATATTTGAAAAGAATTTATTTATTTTATTTTGATTAACATATTTCAAGTCCACAATCCAGGACTTTCAGTTAACAAGGAAATGAGTTCTTTGTTTAAATTTGTTTTTATATATTCTTCTGTAGTAGCAGTTTGTTAATGGAAGGGAGATAACTACATATACAAAAGGTGATCGAGAGCTAGGGTTATCTTTCTTGATATGTACTCTTTCGTCGGCGCCATGACAACGTGCAAACTCTCCCGAACAAACCGTTCACTTCCGCAGCTGGTGTAAACAACATGAAATAACGGCGATTATATCTTTAATGAAAGCTTTTAACATATGGTATGATGACAGATTAGCTGGTTAAAGGTAATTTCAAACGAGGTACGCTCAAGAATATATTGTCAAAAAAACAAAGGCTATTTCAAACATAAACAAAGATGCCTCATTTAAAAGAAACGAAAGAGAAACAGCCGTTGTGGAAAGATTGGGATTATCTTGCCCAGAAAAAAGGTGTTCGGCATACAGTGTATTCCGTCAATGGGGATCAATACACGGGGGAATGGCTAGACAACAAAAAAGACGGTAAGTGGCGTCAAGCTGTGTTGATATTGTATAGATTGTATTTCTGTACGATAAACACAGTTAAGTACAAACGAGGCAAGACGTTTGAAAACATCTTTTTTTTTTTTTTTTACAAAACGTTGCTATTCAAATTTTCAGTTTTACATGAAATTGTCAAGGGTTGTTTCTAGCTTCATCGCTGATACCATAAAGTCGTACTTCTTATGTCCCAGATTATAAATATTTATAATTTATTCAAAATTTAAGAATGATTATGATAAACATGTTGCAATGCAGTATAATTTCATAATTGTTAAACAATGTATTATTGTGCTTTAACGTTCTTTTCTTTCAAATTTATGTATCAATATATATATCCATTCTATATCAGGTAAGGGAACTTACAAGTGGAAATCAAATGGAGCCCTGTATGATGGGGATTGGAAGAAGGGCAAGCGAAATGGATTTGGGACATATAGTGTTCCAGATGGAAAGGGGGGCTACAAGAAAGAATACTCTGGAGGCTGGAAGAATGATATGCGACATGTATGTACTGATATTTAGAGAAAGTATTATGTCTTACAAAAATTGTTGATGGGAATTAAAGTTACACATAAGAACTGGAAAAAAACCCCTAAATGTTCTTTGATTAAATATAACAATTAGGTACATGTAGTATTTAACCAGTCTTTTTAGCTTTTGTCCCAATCATGTTAATCTAGTTCTAAGGTTTGTTACAACCATTTAATTATTCTCTTGGCAAATTAAGAAACTTGATGTAGAGCACATTGATTACCTAGTATTTTCCTTTTTCTAGTGAAACTTTGTCTTTGGATTTATCACTATACAATATACAATTGTATACCCAAGTTCTAAAGCTTATCCTGAAGATGAAAAATAATCAAAACCAAATTTAGGATAATGTGACCTATATATATGATATATCCATATTCTTTCTTCGGTTGAAAATTAGATTGTGAGTTGTGAATTTACTACCAGTAAATAGATGATTGTGGAAAGATGAAGTGTTTTGTATATTTTTGTGCAGGATTAAAAGTGAAGTGAGGATAGCATATGAGCAGGTTTGCTTTCTCAGCATGACCCTTTTTCACAAAATTATCATCCTGAAAACTTTAATTCACTGTAATAATAATTTAGATTTCAAATGTATATATTTGAGATGTTTCACTATAGAACACAATTTGTAACCATCTACCATGGTGTTGAAAACTAAGGTATTGGTAAAATACAACCCACATTTCTATATGAATAGATATGTTTAGGAAACAGTTTCAAAAAAGCACATTCATTATAACTGTGCATGCATGTTTCCTTTTTTTTTAAAAAAAAAGAATTCTACCACCTTCAAATTATGATTTACCTATGTTTTGAGAGAAGGGAGCAGGGATTTATTTAATATATATTGCATAAATAGTCCTCAAGAGACAACTTCATAGACAGACAGATCTACCTGTCCAATTTGTTTCTGGAGTATGGTCTCCAATATCACTTCCTGAAGAAGTATGAAACGTTTAAAAGTATATATGTCTTTGATAAAGTGTATGATTTAGATCAGTATGACCTGTATTTTGTATATGGTAAGATGAAAAATTATTGCATTTGAAGAATGAACACAAATGAAACTCCAGTTTCATCCTAGGTGCCTTACATTGATGTTTACATTGATGTGTCCATATTACCAACTATACATTTATCAGTAGTAATTTTGCCACAACATTGAGGATCAACAGAATTTTAAGTCCTATCATAATTTCATTAGATGATCTACTTTATTGATAAGTACCTCATACTATACCATGTTAATTAGCAGTTGGTGTTATCATATTTCACACTCTGCTCCTAACTGATTGATCAGAAAGTTAAATTTGTGTCGGGAAGGATGAAAAATAAACTGACTCCTGAAGATTTCTGTTCATTTATCATATTTACAGATTAATTAAACTTTGCTTTATTAATCAGAAATGTAAGGTCTAGTTTTCTTTATTTGAACAAATTTGCACATTTTGAAATTTTACATATATATATTATTGTTTTGGTTTGTGTGAATCAGGATCAGACTGCATCAGTGTTTTATTTTGACAAATTCCTGTTCCAAATATCAGTTATATAGATGAAATTCACATCTGTTTCAACACAATCACAGTATGGAGATTTTCTCTTCTGTCTTAGTTTTATCAGGATACAAAACAACAAATGTTTTCTGTTGGTATTTGTCTCCATTATAAATATTTGAAAGTTATTCGTACTTCGTCTTGAAAAGGACATATAGCGATGTTCATTAATGAAGTCACTGATTGTGATGTTTAATAAGTTAGAACAAGTAAATGATTTTATGAAAAAACTTAGATTTTCACTTATGCTACTAAAATGCAACTTCATGCAGACATTGTTTCTGTATTGAAAATATTTGTTTTGTGTAAAGGGTCAAAGTTACTAATTATAGATATTCTTATGAAATTTATACCGGTACTTGTTTGTAAGCAAGTAGAGGTTACGAAGGTAAAGAAATATATACAGTATATATTGTAACATAACACTGGTACTTGTATTGTGAGGAAGCCTTTACAGTACAATATAGTGATTATAATTACATTACAGGCATATGGGACACAATTTTACACTGATTCAGAGTATTATGAAGGAGAGTGGTATGCTGACAAACGAAGTGGCTGGGGTCGTATGTACTTTAAGGATGGTACGATATATGAAGGAGAATGGTATGATGACCAACGTAATGGCCAAGGCATGATCCGATTAAGTAAGTTACATTTAAATTCTTCTAATAGACTTTTTTTGATAAAGTAAGTGACAATCCGCTAATAAATTTGTTAAAATATTTTCAGCCCACCATATTTAAATCACCCTACATCTGTGGTCGATGGTCTGGTCCGTCTGTAAACAATTTTTTATTGCCATTTCTAGAGAGAAGAACTGGATGTATCATTCTCAAATTTCTTGTGTAGGTTCCTCTTGGCCTCTAGTTGCAGTCCTTTGATTTTGGGACTAATAAGAGAAAAAAAAAAAATAGCTGACAGTTGGCAGGCGATCTTGGAGTTTTCGATGAAGATTGTTGTTGCAATTTCTCGATCGATCTCTCTGAAATTTCATATGTAGGTTCTCCTTCATCTCTAGTTGTGCCCATTCAATTTTGCAACTAACCAGCAAAATAAAAATGGTAGACAGATGAATGTCTTGGATTTCGACTTTGAAAGTTTGTTCTCCCTATTTCTTAAGAAGAACTGAATTAATAAATTTCATACATGGGTTTCCCTTTGTCCCTAGTTGTACCCGTTTAATTATGGGACTGATCAGAAAAACAAAATGGCTAACAGATGGTCATCTTGGAATTTGACATTGAAAGTTTGTTATTGCTATTTTTAAGAAGTACGGAATGGATTTTGTTCAAATTTCATATGAAGGTTCCCTTTAGTCTCTAGTTGTGCCCGTTTGATTTCGGGATTGATCATAAAAAAAAAAAAAAATATGTATCAAGGCGAACATCTTGGATTTGGCAGTTAAAGATTATCATGACTGTTTCTGCAAGGGATGTTCAAATTTCTTATGATAAAGGGCAAAAACAGAGAAGAGAAAAGAAGGAAAAAGATCCAACTTTCAAAGAGCAAATAAAGATCAAACAATGGTGGGCGCCAAGATCCCCTCTGCGATCTCTTGTTCATTTTGTGAATTTATTGTGTATGAACTAGAAAACCAAAAGCAATGCATGAATGGAAATATCTCACAAAAATGTGATAAAAAGATGATGCTTTAGTGGAACTATTATTTCTTTAAAAAAACATTTGATATATACACTTATTTATAGTTATCAAGATCTTGGTACATGTGTAGCTCTAATGCTACCATAATCAAGTACATGTACAACACATTTCTTATTTTAAGGTGAATGTCATGAAGAGCACGGTATTTGTTCAAGTAAAAAAAGTTACATTTTTGCTATTCAGCCAATGAGAATCGTTACGAGGGATCCTGGCGGAATGATAAAAAGAATGGGCCAGGGAAGTTCTTCTACCTTACTACAGGACAGGTGTATGAAGGTGTATGGAATGATGACATTGCAAAGTGTGGTACAATGAAGGACTTTGGTCGAGAAGGGGCACCAGAACCCACACAATATAAAATACCTAAGGTGAGTCCAAGAAGGGGCACCAGAACCCACACAATATAAAATACCTAAGGTGAGTCTGAGAAGGGACACCAGAACCCACACAATATCAAATACCTATAGTGAGTCTGAGAAGGGGCACCAGGACCTACACAAATATAAAATACCTATAGTGAGTTTGAGAAGGGGCACCAGAACCCACACAATATAAAATCCCTAAGGTGAGTCCAAGAAGGGGCACCAGAACCAACACAAATATAAAATACCTATAGTGAGTCTGAGAAGGGCACCAGAACCCACACAATATAAAATACCTATAGTGAGTCTGAGAAGGGCACCAGAACCCACACAATATAAAATACCTATAGTGAGTCTGAGAAGGGGCACCAGAACCCACACAAATATAAAATACCTATAGTGAGTCTGAGAAGGGGCACCAGGACCTACACAAATATAAAATACCTATAGTGAGTCTGAGAAGGGCACCAGAACCCACACAAATATAAAATACCTATAGTGAGTCTGAGAAGGGGCACCAGGACCTACACAAATATAAAATACCTATAGTGAGTCTGAGAAGGGCACCAGAACCCACACAAATATAAAATACCTATAGTGAGTCTGAGAAGGGGCACCAGAACCACAAATATAAAATACCTATAGTGAGTCTGAGAAGGGGCACCAGAACCTACACAAATATAAAATACCTATAGTGAGTCTGAGAAGGGGCACCAGGACCTACACAAATATAAAATACTGATAGTGAGTCTGAGAAGGGTCACCAGGACCCACACAAATATAAAATACCTATAGTGAGTCTGAGAAGGGCACCAGAACCACAAATATAAAATACCTATAGTGAGTCTGAGAAGGGGCACCAGGACCCACACAATATAAAATACCTATAGTGAGTTCAAGAAGGGGCACCAGGACCCACACAAATATAAAATACCTATAGTGAGTCTGAGAAGGGGCACCAGGACCCACACAAATATAAAATACTGATAGTGAGTCTGAGAAAGGTCACCAGGACCCACACAAATATAAAATACCTATAGTGAGTCTGAGAAGGGGCACCAGGACCCACACAAATATAAAATACTGATAGTGAGTCTGAGAAAGGTCACCAGGACCCACACAAATATAAAATACCTATAGTGAGTCTTAGGAGAAATGCCTTAAACAAGCCTGGGACAAGAATATTTTTCCCTGTCCCTCTATAGTTTTGACACAAGGTCATTTCCCATAAGTAATTCTTCTCTTAATTAGGGAGTGAAACATTTACCAAAGTACTGTAACTTCTTAGAAGTGTTTCACCCATCCTTACATACATTATGGGACATATAGTAGAAGAAAAAATGATTTGAGTTTGCATATTAGATTTTTTTGTGAGAGGAGACACCTATTAATAAATCAAAAGTATGATTTTTGTTGGAAACACTCTTGAAAAGTTGAGACTTTTCATAATTTCATAGCTTCCGAAACCATTGTTCTTTGGAAAGGTTAGAACAATAGAAAAAACATTTGGGAATAAAAATATTTAAACAAAATATCAATGTTTTATATAGAGCAAATTCAGTTATAAAATACAAAAAGACATCTTGTAAAATTGAGGGAGTCTTGACTTATCAACTGTGTTCAGGTAGGATGGAGCATCTGGACATCAGTTGTACCATTTTCTGATTCAGTGGTAGCTTTGATATGAATAGAGATGTAGCTTTGATCTGAATAGAGATGTGGATTTGGTATAAATAGAGATGTAGCTGTGGTATAAATAGAGATGTAGCTGTGATATAAATAGAGATGTAGCTTTGATCTAAATAGAGATGTGGATTTGGTATAAATAGAGATGTAGCTGTGGTATAAATAGAGATGTAGGTGTGATATAAATAGAGATGTGGATTTGGTATAAAAAGAGATGTAGCTGTGATATAGAGATGTAGCTGTGATATAAATAGAGATGTAGCTTTGATCTAAATAGAGATGTGGATTTGGTATAAATAGAGATGTAGCTGTGGTATAAATAGAGATGTAGGTGTGATATAAATAGAGATGTGGATTTGGTATAAAAAGAGATGTAGCTGTGATATAGAGATGTAGCTGTGATATAAATAGAGATGTAGCTGTGATATCAATAGAGATGTAGCTGTGATATAGAGATGTAGCTGTGGTATAAATAGAGATGTAGCTGTGGTATAAATAGAGATGTAGCTGTGATATAAATAGAGATGTGGATTTGGTATAAATAGAGATGTAGCTGTGATATAGAGATGTAGCTGTGATATAAATAGAGATGTAGCTGTGATATCAATAGAGATGTAGCTGTGATATAGAGATGTAGCTGTGGTATAAATAGAGATGTAGCTGTGATATAGAGATGTAGCTGTGGTATAAATAGAGATGTAGCTGTGGTATAAATAGAGATGTAGATGTGGTATCAATAGAGATGTAGCTTTGGTATAAATAGAGATGTAGCTTTGATCTAAATAGAGATGTAGCTGTGGTATGAATAGAGATGTAGCGTTGATCTGAATAGAGATGTAGCTTTGGTATCAATAGAGATGTAGATTTGATCTAAATAGAGATGTAGCTTTGGTATCAATAGAGATGTAGATTTGATCTAAATAGAGATGTAGCTTTGGTATCAATAGAGATGTAGATTTGATCTGAATGGAGGTTATGGGTATTTTTTCTGTCTTGTTACTATATCTCATGTTTTGTTTGACAGGTTGAATTAGCCAATTCTGATGCAGTGTTACAAGATGCTGAGGAGACATTTCTACAAGATCATGAGTGAAGATCGTCAATTTAGGTTGATACACAAGATAGAAGAATGTGTGATTGCACAAGTCTGACTTCCATTTGTACATCTTAAAAATTTTTATCTAGAAATATACTGCTGATAATCAACTGCTTTCAACGTTATATTTGTAAGAAAAGATATTTTGTAAAATATGATTTTAGAAATTATTAGTATAATATTGCTTTAAGTATCACTGATAGAAAGGTGTGCCTTGTAGTGATATCAGCATTATGGACTAAGTTATCGCTCTCCTCAGTAAAAATGCTACAGGGCTGTCATCAAGTGTTTGTTTTAGTACTTCAATGGCATTACTTATTTTCCCTGAAACCTGTGAAACAATTCAATATACAACCTTTTTAAAATTGATATTGTACATGTAAACCCCTATCCTTTTTATGGACATGTTGTCACAATGTACATTTAATGTGTGAATGTTATCATGTGATATATCAGAATGTGATCGGTGATGTGTGCAGTAGAAGAATTCAAGGATGGATATAAAGAGTGAAAGTAAATAAATTATCTATATGTTAAGAAGTTGTGTTTTGTTTATTTCATTATTACCAATTTTAGGATTTAAAAAAATAACTATAAGCAAAAGAGAAATCTCAACAATTTATTTGGAGCTGAAATATATATATATATTTATAACATACATTGTACATCATGTAAAGCAAAATAAGACCTGTGTTGATAACTTAATGTTGGAAACATTTACCCACTGTTAAAACTTATATTAATGCTGAATTTCTTAGTAAATAATTTCTCTCTTGTCTAAATATATTTCAATACAACATATGTACATGTAAAATATCTAAATATTCCCTAACAAGGATCACTGTGTCTTTCAATTTAAAAATACTGGAACCAAATTTTTTTGCATTTTCAAACAATGCTGCAATGCTGTATATTGATATTTGATTTCTTTTTATATTCTCATCTTCACAAAACATTGAAAAATTCCTTTTTTACTGAAAAAATATTAAGAATACAACTACAAAATTGTACTACAGTTCAATTAAACTGAATACGAAACATTCACCTTCACAAATCAACATTCTCCAATGACATGCCTACATCAAAAACATGTCGGTCTTGTTCAGAAAAAAACATTAGCACTAACATGAACAATACATGGATTTCTTCATCTAAAAATAATGATAGCCAATTCAAGGCAACTACATATGCACAGATGTTCAGGCAAGTTATGACTTTAAAATCTAACAGTGGATTTCAATAACAGTGATTGTATACAGAGATGTTTTATTTACTAAATATGTAGGAATATCTATGGCAAGATGAGCACTTTCAATGACCTACCTGAAAAAATATTTTTTGGTTTCAGATTATATCCCTTTGGTATCAGATTATCTCCCTTTGGTATCAGATTATATCCAGAGAAAAAAAAGTTCTATGTAAATACATTTAACATGAATTATGGGATTAATATGACAACAGACCTACAACTTCACAACCTTATCAAATAACATATCAAAAGCATTTTGATATGGGGACTAGAACCAGAAAAATCTATCATATAATGTAATCCATTACATATATATCGATGTTGTGGGAGAACATTTCCAAGATTCACTTGCATATATGTATGTACAAGTATGTTGTAGTTTATTTGCTAATTTTCAGGAGAATTTTTAGTACTGTATACTACCTTCTTAATCTCAATAAATAAAAGGAAAAGTAACTATTCCTGAAGCCAGACTTCCCAGCAGTATATTCTTAAATCATAGCTGGTCGGCTCATTAGCCTGCAAGCTGCCACCAGGGCACAGATTACATGATTTATAGATGTGCAAAGGATCAAGCCACTGCAAACCAAGATCTTAACATAGGGTCTTAATTGAGGTTTAATTTCTTATGAGATTTTATCAAACAAATCATAGAGGTTTTTATTTTAGCTAGCCTTGATGACAAGTTTCATAAAAACTCACGAAATGACAACGAATTGTTAACATACTTTTATCCCATATTTCAGAAAAGTTCAATTTTTTGTTGGGGATAGAATCAAACAGAGGCAGCCATTTTGTTGTGCTGTTGTCAATTCATGACGCAATGTAATTGTCCATATCATGACCTCACAATTTATTTGTAAATGGAAAATCCAATGAACAAGTGTTTCCACAAATTTTTTTACAAGAATCTGTGATAAACTGTTTTATATTCCATGTGGCCCAGTCCACACACATCAAATGTTCTAAAACAAGTGAGGCTGATATGTTTAGAAACCATCCAACATCAAATAGATAGAAAATAAATAAACATTTACCAACACCATTCACTTGCAATTTGTCTTAAATTTCACATTTTATGTTTATATTGTACAGGACTATTGTCAACCATAGAAATAAACCTGTAATATACCCATGGCTTTGCAGGCACCCTCAGAACCATGACGGTGGAATATTGGATATTCCATACCCTTTATGGAAAGGGAAGTAACTCAAATAAGAAGGTAAAATTATTTTTTACATTTTTCACTGTGATGTCACAATAATTTCTTAATTTCTGTGTTACTGATTGCTGATATAGATATTATGTAGCCTTAACTCAGGAAATATGTATGATTTTACACTGAGATCTTGTTACAAGTACTCTTTATACAGTATTGAATTCATTCATAACCAAGCAAAGGGGAAGTAACTGCTGACTAGACATGTGACATGAGATTCAATTAATGTCAGTCGTTGTACAGGGTATTACCATGCTTATATACTGAGATTACAAGTATAAATTAGAACGTGTAGAAATATGTACTGGTCATGATAAAAAAACTTGTTTTTTGGCATATATGTGTTGTTAGTGGCGGTGGAACAGGACTTAGGGGTATAGAGGATAATGTGTATATTTTTTGTATACACCAGTAAAATGAAAAATTAAAAGGTTATTACAAAAGGCAAGAAAAAACCAAACAAATTGACAATCCAAACCTAAAAGAAATCATGCAATATGTAAAAATATATACATGTATTACAAATAATCAATATGGGACTCATTAACATTGGATCAATAAATCGGACCCTCGGTGTTTTCTGGACATTTATATGTTCCTTTGGACTGCTGTTTTGTTATAGACATGATCACATTCAAGTATGTTAGTGAAGTCTTGAAAGCATAGCAGATTTCATGATCAATTTTCTTATCCAGAAAGGCTCCTGAACTAAGCATGTCTAAGCTTATTGTATAATAGGAGGCCCAAAATAAAAGGTGGGTTTGTACTTCGAGACAGTACAACAAATGTTTAAAAAAAAACATGACAACAAAAATACATGTATATGTTAACAAAATTATCGTAATTCACAAAATATTTAAAAAGTAATCATACAAATGCATGCATACAAAACATGTTTACCCTTTACAAAGTGAGCCTATAGACATGTGTATATAAGCATCACCCATCAACAAAATATTATGCAAAATCATTAAAAGTTGTGACAATCAAATATGTACAAAATAAAAAAAATATACAAAACTGACAACATCTGCATGGTACAAATTGATAGTATATCAAATAAAAAAACCAAAATAAAATTCAGAAGTCTAAATTTAGAATGATAACATTAAACTGAACAATCCCAAAAATAATTTCTAGTATTATGAATCGGCGAAATCATGTAATATGACAATTGCAAAGTTATAAATAAAATGTAAACATCTATTTTATCACAATACTGATATTCAATGGCACAGACATCCTTATCACATGTACAGATAGTACAACATAACACCAATGTAATCACACCACTTTCAGAAATACCCTTTTGGTAATAAGTCTGTGTATATTCAAATGATAATCAGATGTCATTGTTCTTTGGGAGATTCTTTCAGGTGAATTCAAAATACAATGAGAAATCATTTTAATGAGCCCCATTACTTAAGATTAAATCCTACATGAAAGTATTTGTGTCCCAGAAATGACTGGATCTTTGGATAATTTCCACTTAAATCTAAGACAAAGAGTAACATGTGTATTGTAATACTGGAAAAGATAATACAGGTCACATGCAGAACTGAGGAACGAGAAACAAATACAGGGTTCTGTCACTTAACTCGGACCAATTCCGCTACTGAAATTTAAAATTTCAGTGGATTTGGTCTTACATATATTTACACATTTTACCTCATTAATGGTAATCATGTTACCTAACCTACATTATTTGTACTATTGCTTAGTGATCCGAAGTGAAGGAACGTTAAACCCTAACACTGGATAACTAACAAAGTGGGAATTCATACCATGCTGAAAATTATTGTCAATGATGAAAGAAATAAAGGAAAGCACCCTCATATACCTGATTACAATGACATGTGTGATAATTATAGATATGTTTAAGTAAGCTGGAATATATCATTTATAATGTATATCTGTATAATTACTCATGTTGACTTGCTTCTACTATGTTGCTGTTGAATTTCAGAAAGAAGGAAAAAACTATCTTCTAAAAAACTATCATTGGTAAAAATAGCATATCTGACCTACATTTTTTAAAAGACGATTCCTCTCAGATAACAATATTTAATAAATGCTCTTTAAAATTGTATCAAGAATTCTCAAATAATACCTGATAATTATTCCAGTAAAACATCTACTTGAACTCAGGACTCCAATGTAAATAACATATATTCATGGTTTGGATTTCTCCCTATCACTAATTTACATGTAAATAATCAATCAAATTCTGTGGGTGTTACCCCTGTACAAAACCTGGAGTCCAGAAGTAGGATATAGATCTTTTGTTGGAATAACCTCCATGAAAGCCCATCAGTGGTGCCTTAATCTATATCTGAATCAAGTCGGTCGAGCATATGGTAGTCAAATCGAATACGGTTCTCCAGGAATATAGCATCTCCCCCTGTCTCCATCCCCATAGGAACGCAGCAGCATTTATTTAGAGTCATGAGCTTGTATGTTATGATCCAGCCACATATCACCAGGATGAAATTCACCGCCACATGCCAAGAGTAGAACATGGAAAGGGAGATAACCATGTCGTGAGTTTCAACCTTGCCCTTTATGGTGAGAGGATCCATCAACACTAAAGAGGAATGCAGGAACCATGTGCCCAGCACCATTAGCCCAAACCCACGCAGAAGTGGACAAAAGATCTGTGTACGCATCCTCATTTCTACAATGACAGTGATACAACAGCCAAATGCAGACATCATCATAAGTGTGTTGACTGTCCATTCCTCAGCATGAAGATCTGGAACATGGAATCCGTACAGAATGCCTTGTACACCAAAGGTCAAGGCCAGTGCTGCGTAGTCTAAATCTTCCAGAAATAGTTTCCCACAGATAGATTTTGTCAGATCTATGGCACTACAAATAACGAAAAAAGCAAATACTGTTCCATGACTCAAATCACTGTAGCTGGTTATTTTACCGGCTCTACCAAAGTCAGTTGATGATGCAAAACAGTAGGCCATAATGATGAGACAACTCATCAACTTTAAACTGCCTTCTACAGGCCACTTTTGGCAAGACTGGCAACATGGATAGGAAATTGCACTGACAAATTCGATTCTTCTTTGTTTACAGTAAAAGAATTTCTTGGTTGCTTGAAACAGCCACCAGATTCCAATGGGAAAAAAATAACATCCTGACAAAACCAATGGAATATCCATGTTTGTGCAGATTAGATGTCAGAGAGAGGCACAAGTTCTAAACTTTGCTTCATAACCATTCTGAAAAAAGAAAACACAGTTTCTTTAATTAGTAATTTGAATTAAAGGAAACATCTGTATGTATTGCATTTCATTGATACTGATGGTATCTTTTAGACAAAGGTGAATCTGACCCCTGACCTTTCCGATCAAGGAATCAAACCAACTGGATATGTCGTGAATGCTAGCTTAATGGATAGATTATCAATGGAAGGTCATAATAATGATAATATGAATGTCATCTTATTTCTTGAAAATACAATTTAAAGTAATATGAAACCATTATTAGAACTGGGATTCTATTTTCATGTAGGAATCAAACTTAAAAACACAATCATGTTATAAAAACTATGATCATTCGAGTCTGTGACAAAATCAAATAAGCAATGTTCCTTTCAAAACATTTTGTTTGTACTACAAATTGTTCGATTAGAGTTCTCATTTCATTCTTTACAGGTCAACAACTCAAATTGCAATTGGCAAATTGCGAATTACGTGAATCATAGAAAATAATTTTGCAAAACATGACTTATCACTGATGGCCATTTTTTCATCACTTGACATTCATAGGTTTTTTTCCATATTTCGGAGGATATTTAAAAAGTTAAATTGGGTCAAAAGACAGAGGTAAAGGTTCAGTTTGGACCCTGCCTATCAAAGTGGGACAAAATACTATAATTTCTACAGCAGCAGGGTGACAGTGAATTTGCAATATTTCCCTATTGGGCCCAGCCCCTATCATCCCAGGGAAAAGACAACAACCATTTATACAAAATAGATTCCTCTTCTCTCATAGAAGCTTCAGACCAAACTGGGACAGAATCCAGGTATTCCAAAAAAAGGATTAGAATTAGAATTTTCTCTATTTCCCCTATTAGGCCCTACTTCTGGGGACCAAGTTTCATCATTTACACAAAACTGATCCCCCTTCACCCAAGGATTCTTCAGACCAAACTGAGACACAAACTTTTCAAGAATTTGCGCTATTTCAAATATTTGCCTCCCACTCATCCCCTCTTGCACCCCTATGGTCCACGACCCGCCATTTATTTATTGATGTTCTTTATCAAAGGTTGCTACAAACCAAATTTAGAGAGTATCCATGCATTCCCAGGAAAAATAAAAGGATTATTAAGAATTTGCTTTATTCCTCTAATGGGCACACTACACCACTTGAATCCCAAGGGGCTATTGTTTTCACAAAATTAATTCCCCTCACAGAACAATTATTGATACAAATACTGAAGAATGATTTCAAAGGATTTACTTTATTTCCACCACTCTACACTGCCCCTTCCATCTCATAGATTGATTTCCCTTCACCCAAGGATGCCCAAAAACCAAATTTTGACAGAATTCAAGCATTCCTACAAAAGATGATTTTAAAGATCTTGCTCAATTTTCCATTTCCATCTCTGCACCTCAGGCCCCTGGAGGCCAAGAACCAACATTCATATAAACTTGGTTTTTCTTCCCCAAAGGATGGTTCTGACCAAATTTGGTAGAAATCTGTTCAGTCTATCATGATCAGTAGTAACTTTTTAAACAAAAATTATTAAGCTGATCAATCCTTAGGGTCAGGTTAGCAAAAACTGTTCAGATTTGTCATTTGAAAGTCATTGATCATAATATCTTACAATGAATAGCAAGTTTTATTGACATTTTTTTCTTTCCACAACTGTTTCGAGTTGCAGCAACAAAATGTAATAGTCGTGTTTCCGGGCCTGGTTAACCACACAACTCAGGGTTCTCAATCATATATTTATTTATTGAAGGGATGAAATAAAACCCTCTTCTGTTGGTTTCCACACCCAAGTGTTACGTACGACAAATATATAGTGGTACATATACTTGTCTTTCAATACTGTGTCATTAAATTCTCAGGTCCACCACGACTAAAAATACCAAGACCCCAAACAAAAAACATGTCCGGTCGTTACAACTGCGCTGACCAACACTGCCCAACTTGCGCCAAAACTAACTTAAACAAAACAAATAAAAACAGCCAATCAGGTGACCTAGCCAAACAGGTTAACACTACACCACGTGACTCTTACACACGACACTCACTAGTATACACACTCACAATGCGCAGGATAAACTTCAAACGGATTGATGCGGCAAACGGACGCGTATAAGAAAAGATGAAATATAAACATTATCATATTGTGAATACAATAAAATACACGATAAAATTAACACTATCACAAAAATCATCCAGGTAAGAGGCATGCTAATCAATATTTTACAGATAAGTCAGTTTCACAAAATGGACTAACCAAAACCATGGAATGTCAAGTCATCATTTGTACATAAAGGAAGATAATTCAGTACTTTGACAAAATCCAGTAAGACATCTGTTTATTTCATAAATATTTAGTAAGATTTTTATTTGTTTACAACATATCCTCTTTGGTTATAAGATCATATGTAATGTTTGAGATATCCATTTTACTAAATAAGATTTCTTATTTTCTAAATTAAACATCTACTTAATTAGATAAATAGTTCAGTAAATAAGATATCTCATATGATGTCTTATAAAAGAAACATCATACCACATCTTATACAGAACCAGACTTTCACATGACCTACAAAATAGTGTTTTAAAATGAATTCTCCCATCCTTACATCACATTCATCTTAAGAATGCACGTTTTACGTAAAAATACAAGATTGAAAGTATGATGTGAGAACAAAGGGTGAATGAAACTGGCTGCATGCATGCTACCATCAATGTAACGTCACATCCATCACATCCATTAGTGGACTTAACCTGCATTGATGCTATCTATTAATGCACAATGGGTTTGTTAGTGTCTACCATTTTCGATATCCTCTTTATCCTATTTATTTAATAAATACGTACATGATCAACTTTGCTTAGGTCAAGTTGGCTTGCAATACGAAACGCACACGCTTAGCACTGTCCAGGCGATCAAATAGAGCGTAGTCCCGTGTACCTAATTACTCTTTGTTGTAACGTGCACGTGCCCATGTGGCTGTTTTATTATTAAAGCTACGACATAATTAAAACCTGAATATCAATCTTCACAGCTCAACATCCGTTGCGCCATAGGCACATATATCTGGATTGTAAACAACCCACGTGAAGAGTCGCAGCCAAAATAACGACAGTCCAGTAACCTAAGTGGTCTGTGAGTTGTTTACAATCCAGATCTATATCAGTGAAGAGTGTCGTTGTGATAGTCCATTCCCATTGTTTACTGTGCACTACACCACAAGCTCACTTCTATAACATTTGTGAACATATTTAGTATATTGCCTGTATAATGATAACTTACGCTAACCTACCAGTTCAGACTTGTATCAATACTTTCCACTTCTCCAGATTCATCTCTCCAGCACGGAAGTGATGTGACGGAAAGGGAGCTAACCCAGGCCGGAAGTTTACGTGCTACTACAGGGTTTCAACATCCAGCCGAGACCCAAATTATCTTTATTATTTGTATTGATTTTTTCCTTGTCGTATTGTTTAAATTCCTTACCATACACTCAAAATTTATTTCCGGACTTCACAGTATTTCTTTTTTAAACCTTGATTTAAACATTCCTCACCCAAACCAGTGATTTAGATTTCCACAATCATTCCATATACCATTTGCACAAGGCAAAAGTCCGTACCAATATCACCCAAAGGAATGATGCTATTAACCTAAAGAGAAGAAGAAGAGCAGGAGGAGGAGGAGAAGGAGGAGGAGGAAGAAGAAGAAGAAGGCAGAAGAAGAGGAAGAAACAAGAAGAAGAAAAAGAGGAGGAAGAAGAAACAAAAAGAGGAAGAAAAAAGAAGAAGGTAGAAGAATAGGAAGAAAGAAGAAGAGGGAGGTAGAAGAAGAGGGAGGTAGAAGATGAGGAAGAAACAAGAAGAAGGAAGAAGAAGAGGAGGAAGAAGAAGGTAGAAGAAAAGGAAGAAAAAAGAGGGAGGTAGAAGAAGAGGAAGAAAGAAGAAGTTAGAAGAATAGGAAGAAACAAGAAGACGGTAGAAGAAGAGGAAGAAACAAGAAGACGGTAGAAGAAGAAGGTAGAAGAAGAGGAAGAAAGAAGAAGAAGGTAGAAGAAGGTAGAAGAAGAGGAAGAAAGAAGAAGAAGGTAGAAGAAGAGGAAGAAAGAAGAAGAAGGTAGAAGAAGAAGGTAGAAGAAGAGGAAGAAAGAAGAAGAAGGTAGAAGAAGGTAGAAGAAGAGGAAGAAAGAAGAAGAAGGTAGAAGAAGAGGAAGAAAGAAGAAGAAGGTAGAAGAAGAGGAAGAAAAAGAAGAAGGTAGAAGAAGAGGAAGAAACAAGAAGACGGTAGAAGAAGGTAGAAGAAGAGGAAGAAACAAGAAGAGGAAGAAACAAGAAGAAGGTAGAAGAAGAGGAAGAAACAAGAAGACGGTAGAAGGAGAAGGTAGAAGAAAGAAGAAGGTAGAAGAAGAGGAAGAAAGAAGAAGAAGGTAGAAGAAGAGGAAGAAAAAGAAGAAGGTAGAAGAAGAGGAAGAAAGAAGAAGAAGGTAGAAGAAGAGGAAGAAAAAGAAGAAGGTAGAAGAAGAGGAAGAAACAAGAAGAAGGTAGAAGAAGAGGAAGAAAGAAGAAGAAGGTAGAAGAAGAAGGTAGAAGAAGAGGAAGAAAGAAGAAGAAGGTAGAAGAAGAGGAAGAAAGAAGAAGAAGGTAGAAGGTAGAAGAAGAGAAAGAAACAAGAAGAAGGTAGAAGAAGAGGAAGAAACAAGAAGACGGTAGAAGGAGAAGGTAGAAGAAGAGGAAGAAAGAAGAAGAAGAAGGTAGAAGAAGAGGAAGAAAGAAAAAGAAGGTAGAAGAAGAGGAAGAAAGAAGAAGAAGGCAGAAGAAGAGGAAGAAAGAAGAAGGTAGAAGAAGAGGAAGAAACAAGAAGACGGTAGAAGGAGAAGGTAGAAGAAGAGGAAGAAAGAAGAAGAAGGTAGAAGAAGAGGAAGAAAGAAGAAGAAGGTAGAAGAAGAGGAAGAAAGAAGAAGAAGGTAGAAGAAGAGGAAGAAAGAAGAAGAAGGTAGAAGAAGAGGAAGAAAGAAGAAGAAGGTAGAAGAAGAGAAAGAAACAAGAAGAAGGTAGAAGAAGAGGAAGAAACAAGAAGAAGGTAGAAGAAGAGGAAGAAAGAAGAAGAAGGTAGAAGAAGAGGAAGAAACAAGAAGACGGTAGAAGGAGAAGGTAGAAGAAGAGGAAGAAACAAGAAGAAGAAGGTAGAAGAAGAGGAAGAAAGAAGAAGAAGGTAGAAGAAGAGGAAGAAAGAAGAAGAAGGTAGAAGAAGAGGAAGAAAGAAGAAGGTAGAAGAAGAGGAAGAAACAAGAAGACGGTAGAAGGAGAAGGTAGAAGAAGAGGAAGAAAGAAGAAGAAGGTAGAAGAAGAGGAAGAAAGAAGAAGAAGGTAGAAGAAGAGGAAGAAAGAAGAAGAAGGTAGAAGAAGAGGAAGAAACAAGAAGACGGTAGAAGGAGAAGGTAGAAGAAGAGGAAGAAAGAAGAAGGTAGAAGAAGAGGAAGAAACAAGAAGATGAAGAAACAAGAAGATGAAGAAGAAAAAGAGGAGGAGGAGGAAGAAGAAGAAGAAACAAGAAGAGGAAGGTAGAAGATAAGGAAGAAACAAGAAGAAGGTAGAAGAAGAGGAAGAAACAAGAAGAAGGTAGAAGAAGAGGAAGAAAGAAGAAGAAGGTAGAAGAAGAGGAAGAAAGAAGAAGAAGGTAGAAGAAGAGGAAGAAAAAAAGGAAGAAGAAGAAGGTAGAAGAAGAGGAAGAAAGAAGAAGAAGGTAGAAGAAGAGGAAGAAACAAGAAGAAGGTAGAAGAAGAGGAAGAAACAAGAAGAAGAAGAAAAAAGAAGAAGGTAGAAGAAGAGGAAGAAACAAGAAGAAGGTAGAAGAAGAGGAAGAAACAAGAAGAAGAAGAAAAAAGAAGAAGAGGAAGAAAAAAGAAGAAGAAGAAAAAAGAAGGAGAGGAAGAAGAAGAGGAGGAGGAAGTTAGAAGAAAAAGAAGAAACAAGAAGAAGAAGAAAGTAGGAGAAGAAAAAGAAGAAGAAATTGTTTATCGAGCGATTCTAGGACCTTCCTGACGTGAGAAAGGAAATAATCTGATGAGCTAACGTAATTAGCGCCTTCAGCTGAATTTATAGATATGAGAGAACCAGCATAAAATATTAAATCAAGATGATTCATTTTTGAAACAACATTTTAGACAACTAAGTACTATTGTATAAATATTATATACATAAATGATAATCAAACGATAGATATGGGACTATTAGATATGGACCTGTGTACTTATCGTTTTATGTACTAATTACAGTAGGATGACAACCTAGATATATGTATAATTATACTTAAATTGACATCTTATAGAAACCAAGGATCTATATTAGCTCATTAGAGAAAACAAGGATTACAACCTAGTTATATGTATAATTATACTTAAATTGACATCTTATAGAAAACAATATTTATATCGACACATTACAGAAAATGAGCATTATACCAGAATCTTATTTATACCATAAATTATCTACATTGACACATTACAGAAAATGAGCATTATACCAGAATCTTATTTACACACATGCACTAATAAATGAATGAGTTTTATGCTCGATTTTAAAGAGAAAAAAAGTCAAAATTAATGATAAGTAAATATAACCCAGATCCAATTTTTAATAGAAAAAAAATAAGTGTACAGTACCTTATCAGCTCGTGTTAGAACACTACATTGTCGGGACAACCGCCCCTGGTTGGGAGCCTCGTCAAACCATGGCAACCGTTGCGAACACCTATTAGTACTAAAGCTAGCAGCATATACTAATCTCTAATTTTATTGCTCATTATGATCACCAACCCAATCAGCCAGATATAAGATACGTAATTGACTGTAGCAGGACAACTTTTCAAGAGTTCCACCAGTCCTGTTTGTATTACCTCCCATTCTCCATCAGGACAAAAGTTGAACCTCACCAACGCCATCAATTTACCTGTACCATGTATACTGAAGCTGGAAAATAAATAGCATTATGCCATCACATATTGAAAATAACTGTTCATTATAGACAAGGTTCTTTACTAGTACAATATGCATTTGATAGTGTCGAATGTCGGTAAGCTGTTTAAGAAAACAGTTTATCTGTCTGGTGAAATGAAATGCGTTGCTCAATATATTATACAACACGGGTCGTGTTTAGGAGTTGTGTTAACCACGAGCAAAAATCATTTAAGACACGAAAATCGTCGAGTGTAAATCTTCACAATCGAATGATGTAGGTTAAAACCAAACAAATCATACAACCAACAAACAAGATATGATGAATACAAACAAGATATGATGAATACAAACAAGATATGATGAATACAAACAAGATATGATGAATACAAACAAGATATGATGAATACAAACAAGATATGATGAATACAAACAGGATATGATGAATACAAACAAGATATGATCAATACAAACAAGATATGATGAATGCAAACAAGATATGACGAATAAAAACAAGATATGATGAATACAAACAAGATATGACGAATATAGTAGGATACAAATTCATCCTGTTAGAAACAACCAAGCTTATCATGTAGGACACGGACAAAATCGATAGGATACAAGCAAAGAATGTAGGATGCAAACAAATAATTTAGGACACAAACAAATCGTGCACAATACAAATAAATCACGTAGAATATAAATACATAATGCAGGACACAAACAAATCCTGTAGGATAAAACTAAACAAATCCTTTAGTATAATACAAATCCTATAGTATATAATCAAACAAATTTTGTAGGATAAAATCAACAAATCCAGCAAGATAAAAAAATCCTGTAGGACAAAATCTTGCAGAACGTATCATGTATGAGACAAACAAACTCTTTAAGAAACAAAAATCAATGTAGAGCCAAGCTATCTTCAGAAAGACCGTTTCATCCATCTATGATTCCAATAAAAACTATTATCAAGCGTAAAAAGTATTCAAAAGACTTCTCAAATTGTATTATTGCTCCAGAGTCATGTCCAACTGGAATCAGAAAATGGAATCTACGCATTTGAATTTTATGATGAAGAGCGGAAAAAAATTTATGATACATTTTTCATCCTCTAGAAGCTCTAAAAGTTGCATAAGGGTCCAAATTAGAATTATACACCACATTTTAGTAACCAATATCTTCCTTTATAAAATAAAGCTATCCACATACCCTGTGTAACTTGGAACAGGGACCAATAATTCATTGTTTATGGGGATGCGAAGATGTCCAGACACTTCTTCAGAGATTTGAAAGCCTGCTCGATGTATTTTTCATTCATTTTGTATATAACAAAGACTCTTTTCTTTTTGGATTAGTTTCACAGAATTGTAATCCAGTCGACAACGAAATCTGAATTCTTAGGAAGTTTTATATCATCATAAAATGTCTTAGCAGATCATTACAACTCAACGGACTCATTAACGCTAGAAACTTTCACTTCCTTGTTCAAGCATTATATATAAAGTATATATAAAAGTAAAATTGAACATAAAAGAAGGAAGTGTGAAAGCTCTTGACTGAAATACAACTGTATTCTGAAACTATAGTTACATATTATATAGAATGCATTGTATGTCTTTCTTGTATTATCCTGTATAATTTTTTCCTCTTTCTTGTAAATCCTGCTTGTACAGTGTATGAGTGCGATATGTGAGTATGTGATAATAAATAGGACATAAGTACGTATCAATCTTACATTAATTGTTAGATATTAATAAAGTCCAACCTTGTAAAGGATGATGATGATGGCGGCGGCGGCGGCGGCGGTGGTGGTGGTGGTGATGATGATGATGATGATGGCGGCGGCGGTGGTGGTGGTGGTGGTGGTGGTGGTGGTGATGATGATGATGATGATGATGATGATGGCGGCGGCGGTGGTGGTGGTGGTGGTGGTTGTGGTGGTGGTGATGATGATGGCGGCGGCGGCGGCGGTGGTGGTGGTGGTGGTGGTGGTGATGATGATGATGGTGATGATGATGGTGGTGGTGGTGGTGATGTTGGTGGTGGTGATGATGATGATGGTGGTGGTGGTGATGATGTTGATAATGATGATGATGATGATGATGATGATGGTGGTGGTGGTGGTGGTGGTGGTGGTGAGGAGGAGGAGGAATTATGCTATGCATACCGGTCAAAATGATGATGGTGATGATGATGGTGATGATGATGATGATGATGATGATGATGATGATGTGCATACCGGTAAAGGATGATGATTATGATGATGATGATGATGATGATGATGATGATGATGATGATGATGATGATGATGTACTTGTGAATGAATGTGCTAAAAATCACAAATAAATAGCTGTACAAGTGCGATTAAGTGTCTCTTAATGGAAATCTTGAAAAAAAATGTAGGACACAGAGAAATCGTGTAGGAAACAAATTTTATAGGATGCAAACATGTCGCGTGTGCTTTAAACGAATCATTAGGAACACAAGAGCAAATCGGAACCAAGGTTACAAATCAAATGTTTAAAACATTAAGCGAAGGAAGGAAATCTCGTGTATAGCACGTGCATCGTTACGTAGTTGTATGGTGTGATCCACCTACAGACAGATAAGTTGAGTTTAATTCCAAAAGTTATGTCCTTTAAGCCTCCCAACGCATATATTCCTGTAACATAACAGAAAATCAATGTCAGATCATAGGTGTATTTTAAGTAAATTGAAAGTTCAAGTCTTTAAATTTACTACCGTGACAGTTGAACGATATATCTTAATCAACATGTCACGAAAGGGGTTACAGCGTTTACAAGTATTCAGACACAGGTAAAAGTATACACATATTACGGTTGCAGAATTAAACCTGGATATCACAAACACATCCTGACACCAACAAGTTCAAGGGAATGCTGCGCGTGCTCTGTAAATCGATCTAGCTACTTCTTGAAAGAATTTCCACGAATTAAATATCATTCTTTTATTTAAATGGTATATTGATGGGAAGAACAAAAGTAAAAAATAAAACGATAATTTTGTATAATTTTCATTAAAGCATCTTATGAAATTCTAACTTGAGCGGAGTATCTTTTTAGATGTCACATAGGAAAGCCGAAACGAGGCATAGCAATACTCACCAATGACACGACACGACGCGACAGACTGTTCTACATCAGCCGCTTACTTTGTTTTTTTTCCCTACAACAAATTCAACAGGGACAGCATTTTCTGAAGCTGTATGATAAGCGCGATGATTGCAGCTTTCCTGTCGTAAAATTTCCGTTTCTGAACAGCAAAGTACTTGTATCTCCAGCTTATGGTCTTTACATGTCGCAGTTGATTCGAGAGTTTTTTTCTTAGTATTATGATCTTCGTGAAAAATGACAATAACTGACAGACCAACCCAAAACACAGGGCTTCGAGTTTCGAAAGATGCAGGTTGATGAAAACATGATGGTGAAATTTTACGGTTGTCATAATTACTTATGCGATACCATGACGTGTTTTAAGCTCGTTAGTGTGCCTGTTGACTTTGTTGTTGTTTACCGTGTTCTCGTTTGGGAACATGACGTAAATTAACTGGCTTGACAAAGATTGAAATGGCGAGTGTCACTGAAAACGTCTTAGACTTTTCCTGCGTGTGACTAGGTTTTCCTTTGTTCATATTTTGTCCTAGTGTGATTCAATTAGTAATCTTTGTTAAGAACAACGTTTGTGATCATTTCATTGATACATCAATTGCCCTTAAAATCTCTTGTCATACTGTCCTTGGGAACACGTCATTATGCTATCCATGATATTCCGTTGTTAAACTGTCCTTAGGAACCCGACTCCATGTTGTCCTTGGGAACCCATTGTTGAACTGTTCTTAGGAACCCGTCGCCATGCTGTCCTTGGGAACCGTAGTGTTACTGACCTTAGGACTCGTCACCATGTTGTCCTTGGGAACCGTAGTGTTACTGACCTTAGGAACCCGTCGCCATGCTGTTCTTGGGAACCAGAAGCATTACTGACCTTAGGACTCGTCACCATGTTGTCCTTGGGAACCGTAGTGTTACTAACCTTCGGAACCCGTCGCTATATTCTCATCCTTTGGAACCCGAAGTGATACTGAACTTAGGAACCCGTCGCCATGTTGTCCATGGGAACCAGAAGCATTACTGACCTTAGGACTCGTCACCATGTTGTCCTTGGGAACCGTAGTGTTACTAACCTTAGGAACCCGTCGCTATATTCTCGTCCTTTGGAACCCGAAGTGATACTGAACTTAGGAACCCGTCGCCATGTTGTCCATGGGAACCAGAAGCATTACTGACCTTAGGTCTCGTCACCATGTTGTCCTTGGGAACCGTAGTGTTACTAACCTTAGGAACCCGTCGCTATATTCTCGTCCTTAGGGAACCCGAAGTGTTACTAACCATTGGAACCCGTCGCCATGTTGTCTTTGGAACCCGTTGGCATACTGTTGTAATTTTTGTAGTTTTAATTTACAATTGCTAATAGATCATTAATTTTCTTCAGATGCTGACAAAAACAAATGTATTTCATATATGGAGTGACATTCCTCACCAAAATGTCGACTTTATCGATAAACGAGAAAAAGAGTATTGCTCCATGTCTTCTGCCCAGAAGTACTATAACTCGCCATGGTGGCATCTTTATGAGTGGCATGGGACATCAGGAGACGTAAAACGTTATGTAATCAAGATAGCAGGTGTGGTTTCTGTTTGTTCATGTTTTAGTACATTGTATGCTGGAACAACAACTCAATCCCAAAACTATTGTCCCTTCCAGATTCTTTTTACTATCTCATGTG